ATCTGCTAATGAAAGCACAGGGTTGGGTTTTTTAATAAGGTTAGCTTTAAGAAAGTTAAGCATCTACAGGAAATTAAGAGGGACATTGAAGAAATTGAATCGGTATGTTTAGAGTTTAAAACTTCATGTTGTCATGGTGAATAAGGTGGTGGTGACTGATCTGCAGCAATTTTGTCATAAGCTGGTGGAGCATCAGGTACCTATAGTAAGGAAAATGGGTGTGAAAGATTGAAAAAACAATTGAGGTGCAAGAAAATTACATTGAAGACGCAGCAAGCTATTTACCTTGATATTGATCTGCTAATACAGCTTAAAATAGCTGAGCTCATTCATTATGTCTTTTTTTCTAAGGTTAGTTTTTGCTAATTTTTTTGTTTTGTTTTGCATCAAATTAAATTAATTTTGCTTGCATAATTCATCCAAAGGGAGAATTTTCAGTGTTATAAAGACAGGAAATTTTTTTTTTAAAAGAATTTTTTTTTTTTATATTGAGGATTCAGACTAGTATTGAAACTTTTCTTCAAGAGTCTTGATGTAGGTGTGTTGTCTTATTTCCAATGTTAACAATTTGGGCAGCTTATTTAAAATTGGTTGTAAGTTAGCCTTTCCCCCATTCTAAAACTATTTAAACACACCCATAAGTTGACATATATATTTATGAATTAAATTATTTTAACTTTTTTTTAATATAATAGGTGTGAATGTTCATCTTTCCATAATGATTAGAGGAGCTAAAACCTTGAAGTTTTATAACATTCCCTGGCAATCCTTGTCAGGGTATAGCATAGCAGACATAGTCCATTTGTTGTTTGTCAGAATGGTGGAACACCAATTAGGGAGATGCTTGTTTATTCAGTATATTGCAGCACGCAGGTGTTACATCATTCCAATAGATTGCATAATGATCATACAACTTAAGAATAAAGGTAGGTGAAAGAAAATAATTTTTTAAAAGAATTCCTAATAGCAGATTTAAAAAAAACCTTTTCACAGTAAAAATTGTGCAAAACCAGGGCAAAATACTACTTTTTATGTTAATGTAGAGGCATTGAAGACCCAGTCTAGAGAGCACACCCCAAGAAAGAAATCATCAACAAGTGACTGTTTACCAAGATTGTCTCACTATGTCTTACTACATTGTAAGTAAATGAAACCTTGAGTTGCAACTTACCACAGAATTAAAGTTTCTGTAGTCCTGCAGAGCCATTTTGCTGTCCATCATTCCTCCCTCACCTACCACAGTTCGTATCATGCCCACCCTAGAGCTTTTGCTCTGTGACAGATCATGAAAAAATGTGGGGAAGATGAGAGGAAAAAGAGAACGTGAAGTTGGAGCAAATTATGCATAACTTAGTATTTGACAGCACATTTATAGTATGTATTAGAATCTGGGATTAGGGCCAGACACAAAGCCAGTGAGTAAGAGAGGTAATCTGCCTCTCACTTTATGCTGTCTCTGCTGAGACCTGCTCGCTCTCCTGTATTATCCAATTACATTGCCAGAAAAATGAGGCTCACATTTTTTTATATCCGGGACTGCATCCTCCTTTTTATCCCACCCATTTCTTTCTTTAATCTCCAACCTTTTTCTTTTCCATTTTTCCACCAGTTCTTTGATATACATTCTGTACCAGTTCTCCCCTAGCCAGCTAGCCTAACAAAAATTTGATTTTCAAAACCAGAAAGCAGCAATCTGCAACAAGAAGAACGAATTAAAGAGATTGTGCTTCTTGCCATGATGTACAAAGCAGGCATGAAAGAATTCTGGTTTGCTTTTTGAAGGGTTTTTTTGAGTATTACCTTCATTTTTGCATCATTTCACTGTAAAAGTTCAGGTTTTATGTATTGTTCCAGTTGATGCATGTATTGGACAGATTACCAGAAAGGTAACAGGACAAAGTTAGCAGAAACAGCAAGGAAATGGATTTGCTGAATTAGATGAGAAGTATGTTTTTTCATTCTGAATGGTACTTCTTTTTTGAAATAGTAGCATAGCTGAAAGATATTTACTGTAAAACATGTAATTGGATAAAGCCCTCACTTTAAAGGATAAAAAGTGGCCACCCTTTCACAGGAGAGAGAGCAGATCTTCAAGGGTAAAGCTCTGAGACTCCTAACAACAGATGTTATGAGAAGGATTGTGCCCTTTTTTAACATTTTTTTAAAGAAGGTACAAAGTAGAATTTTTTAGAAGTAATGTTTGGAAAGCAAACCTCAAACCTGCCCTGCTTTTTTGTAAATCTTAAAACTGCAAGTCAACTTTGCACAAATAAACCATGCATCACCCATACAATAACATAATATTTACTCAGTTAACTTCTAACAATTATTTTTCTTCTCTGCTCTCTAGATTTACTCTAATCATATCTGTCTTTACTTTGGGGTAATGCTTATGAGTAGTGAAGATGTTATTTTTATTTAAATGAAAAGACACATAACACATCTTGGTTTTGTGTAAACATTAAATATAATGCTTCCTAGAGATCAGTTTTTCCACTGATGTGTTGTCCAAAGTTGGGCAGCTGGCTTCATCTCCCTATGTTGCTGCCTCCTCTTACCCCTTTGCCTGACTTGCACGTTCTTCGGGGCAAGGTGTGTTTCATATTGTGTGGTTTTACCTCTGTATATGTCAGTGTACGTATTGTATGAGACATCCTATTACAGATGTGATGTTTTCTGCATTAATGTGATGCAAATAATGGTAATATGTTGTCAAAATAGTAGCATGCTAGAAAGTGAGCTGCCGTGCTTACCCGCAGACTTTTATAGCCACTACGTCTTTTGTAATACCAGCAGCCAAAGATAAGTAAAATCGCCAGCACCAAAATGAAGAGTCCAATACCCAGTGCTCTGTTGGGAAAGCAAAACAAAATAGTTAACAGCGGAACTAGATGCATTCTTCTGGAAGCAAGAATGATTACAACAAAAATTTCTATCAGTATCCTTTTATCAGAGGAAAAGATGGAGCAGAATTCACATCAGAAAACAGATGAAGTATCAATAACTTCAGCCAGTCACTGTAGATTAAGTAGTTAGCTAAATTCTCTGCCAAGTTCTTAAGCATTTTAAAAATGAGGAATATATTGCTTCGAAGTTAATAATCTACCAGTGACTACTGCTTCTGAAAAAAATCCCTGCCTGTAAATCCCACAAACAGCATTGCGATATTGGAAGAGAATGTGAAATAAATTAAATGCCACACCCGCAGAGGCACTGCTTATGTTTATTTGTTAAGTTTCTCTCAGCAGCAAGTATTGAGAAATGTATCCAACTGCTGGTGACAGAAGGATTTTTTGAATGCATAAAACACTACACAACCTCAAAACCCAAACTTTGAATAATTCATAAAGACCTCTATAATTCTTTAGTTCTTGTTCCATGATGCACTTGACACAGTATTGGTGTCACTGGGTCATTTTAGGGAACGTAGGCTTTACAAACTGTGCTGTAAGACATCCTTCCCACTGCTTACCGGGGCTTGGGAGAAGAAAAGCACTGTTCCACTATCTGTCAGGAGGCAAGCTGACAAAGTAATTGAAAGTTTCCTAGCCTCAAAAACCCTTCCTCCTGTGCTAATACCCTCCCTGTTAAGGCATACAGAATTCACTCCCCATTTTTTTGTTCTTTTCCTGTTCAGGAACAGAAGAGTCTGCAAAACACTTGGAGAGAAAAGAGGACAGGAAAAAAAATTACCATGAGTCAGGATAAACCCATTCTAACATACTTTTATGTATCTTATATCCAGTTGCCCTGCAGTAATCACCACCAGGCTTTTGCATTGGGACTGAGGAGTGGGGTATGTGACTCATCAGAGACCTTTTATATCTGTTTGCTGTCCTTTTCACTGACTCAAGACTCTGGTGAAGGAGTGTTTCCTTGTGACCTAAGAAGCCTGAAAGAAGATGCAGGCAGATTCCTGTGGCAGAACAGGCTGTCTTTTTGTCTGAACTGCCTGTGTGCTGTTTGAAGCATGAAGCCCCTTGGAGCAGAACAGATTTTCTTTTTCACAAGTAACTGTTTCTTGCAAGTTGCTCCTGCCCCTTCAAGACTTTGTGTGGGCTGGAGATCTGTTTAATCCAAGAATACTGTTCACAGCATTCACGCGCTTCCCGGTGCAGCCGTGTTGCAGCTGATCTTCAAGGTTACGAAATGGCACAAACTGGTTTTGTTACTGTCCTCAGCACAGTTAAAACTGGGAGAGACTACTTCTCTAAGCAACTGCTACCTTTTCTTGCTGCTTTTCATGTTCTCTGTAGTTTTAGCTCTCCCTTAGCCTGTATCCCCCATGGAATGTATGTCACTTCTGGAGCTGGTGATTTTAACTGCATATTTGCCATCTTAACTCCACCCCTACCTATTCACAGGCTAGTATGGAAAGGGTGTATGCAATTCCTTGCAATTCCAGTTAAAGTTGCAGTGGTGATATTAGTAATCTGTGCTTAGATCTCGAATGCTCCTTCTGGTACTGGAAGGAGACAGTTGCTCTTCCCTCGTGTTACCTGGAAAAACTGCTTACGCTTGCAGCCACTGGAGTTCACAACGGTTAGAGGTGAGCATGCTTTGTTTCAAGGGCCAAGACATGACTAGCCAGCCTTCTCTTTTGGGGAACTGAACTGCTGTGGAAGGACTATGAGAGCACCTTCCCCTTTATTTATTCTCTCTGCCCAGGGATGAACACTGAGTTCTTGCGGTATGAATATAAAATATCTCGCAGTATGGGGGCGGGGGGGGGGGAAACAAATCACCAGGTTTCGGGGCCAGGAAACCAGCACCAGAAGCGCATTCCACATGCAGATGTCCTGAGAACATTGGAAATATTTGTCTAAAGTAATAACACATTACCAGTGGGATAGCATCTCTAGTAATCCAAGACCCAACATATTTTGTTGGAAGCCAAATCTAACAAAGTATTACCTTGAATTAGTTCTGCTTAAACAATTTACTGAGAGTCACATTTGTACAGCATTGATGTCTCCATCTGCTTTTTGATGGTATTTTACCATTACTCTGGGGTTTTCACTTATACTATTCTTTAGGGTGAGACAATGTCCCTCTGATGTTCTGAAGAGAGGTATGTGGATCTGGACATAAAACTTAGTGTAAAGATCACCTTGCAACAGCCTCAAAAGAAAATTCTAAATAAACCTAGTAATTTTATTATAAAGATTATTGACTTGTGATGATATGATCAAACTCTAGATTCTTGAATTCTGCAATTCTGATTTTTCTTAACCATTGAGGGCTCTTTATGATTCTGCAAGGACAAACATTCTTTCAATGTAAATTTTTTTCACCAGCTTACATGCTAACATAAGTTTTGCTTTATGCTTACTCTTCTGCTGCCAGATATCTGTGTCCTTTCCCTCTGAAAAAGTTGCCATCTGGATAGTGGTTTCCTCTGGGCATTTCGTCAGCTTGGTCCTGCTCAAACCTACAGGATGGAAATACAGTGCCTCAGAGCAATAAATAATTTATTATCTTTAAAGCATAATATTACCAACTTTTTTGTTTCAACGGGAGCATTTTAGGGAGGCAGGACAATCTGGTGTCTTCAGAATCAAGTAAGTCCATACACATACACAACTGTCCCAATTTAAGGCAAAGCCCAAAACCATAACTACAGTCTGCATTTGAATAGCCCCGCTGACATGAAGGTATTTGCTCCTGAGTGCAGCAGAGAAGAAATTGACATAGTGCCTTTAGGTACTAAGTGATGGCAGACTTCTGAAGTAAAATCTCTCAGGAATATAGAAAAAAAGGCAATTTACCTGGACAAGAAAAACTATTCAGAAGAAGAAAAATTAATATTGTCCTTACAAGTTGTTGTTTCTTTACTTCTGTCATTCCCTGTAAATGCTCAAGGGCCAGGTTTTCAGTCAGCATAAACTCTCAGAGATCTGTTGATTTTCAGATGGCTATACTAATGTATATGTGCTGACAACTATACTTAGATGTGCAGGGAATTGATATCATAATCTTAATTTCCAGTCTGAATAGAATAATCATCCAGTTAAAAGCAGTCTGAACAGTTAAAAATCTAATCGATCAAACACAGTGAAGAAGAAATCCACAAGTAATCATGTTTCTGTCCTTTAAACATGACAACAGCTCCTACTTGATAGTATCCAGCTAATCTACCCACTTTACACAGGTAAAGTATAAAACCCGATTACTCTGCTGAAGAGAATTCTAGCCAAGGAAACAAAACATTTCGGAGTTCACTTAGGGACAGTCAAGCCTCTTCTGAAGCATAATTTTGAAGCAACACAGAAAATTATGGGTAGAATAAAAAAATAAAAATCTTACCTCCTTCAGACCTGTATTCTGCCTTTTAACTGAAAGGCATGTACAGCTTTCTTTTCCTTGACTTAGTCTGGTTTTTTCTTCTTTGATCTGTTCTCTTATGACTATCACGAGTTTAAATTCCTTTCAGTACAGCTTCTGAATGCATTAATTAGCATGAATGAGGCAAGGAGACAACTTTTCATTTTCTTCTTACAGTCTGCATCCTTCCCTCCTACCAAGCAACTCAAAAATCTCTTATTTCTTCATTTATTACATACCTTCTGCAAAATGGCTCAACACCATTTTACCTGCCTAATTAGTACAAGCTCCTAGAGTGGGCAGGCTACTTCTAAACTCAAGCATGTTTTGATTTAGGTCTGATGATTATTTTGTGACAGAAGGCTGCTGTAAACAGGGTTTTTCCATTTGTTTAACTATAGCTTTGTTTATGCACACTTTTTGCACCATTTTAACGCTGTGGAAACTAGTATAGTTGGAGCAAAACTCATAGATGGGTGCTGTTACACTGTGATAGAAGTGTCTTGGATTGGGGGAAGTACAGTTTAATTCTGTACTGGTAAGCAAATGCTGCAACAAAAAGAGAGTTGGTCCCATGGGCTGCAGAACTAACAACATCCAGTTTCGTATGGATCTGTGTGAATTGCCTGTGCTCACACTGCAGCAATTCCACTTACCACACCAGGCAAGAAATGACAGCCTGTGATTAATTTGAGGTCTGGGTACTGCGATGGGCCAGCGGTGTTAGTTACCACCAAAAAACCAAAGAAGAGATAAGAACTGTGTTCTGCTTGTCACTTCTCCCAATGAATCATTAATGTGGGCCTCTCTATCCTGCCACAGATTTTTTTTTTAAGTTTGAAGGATTCAAAAGTTTTGACATTTTTGCTTACCTTTGAAGCTGTGAGCCTGGCTCTAAATGTGGTTGGATATGGCTGACAGAGTCAAAAGTGAATAGGAAAGAACAGATAGTGTGAGATAGCAACATCCGTTTCCTTAGAAAATCAGATTAAAAGTCTTAACGTCAATATTTTTAGCTAGTGCAGGGCTGGGAAGAGCCAGGCTGTTTTTCTGCTTGTGCATTTTGCCTAATTATGGTAAAAATCTGCTCTTTCTTTGGACATTTCTCCATGGTGGTGCCCAGGGACAGTACCGGAGGCAATGGGCACAGACTGAAACACAGGAGGCTCCAGCTGAACATCAGGAAACAGGTTTTTTTACTGTGATGGTGTCTGAGCCCTGGCACAGGTTGTCCAGCACTGTTGTGGAGTCTCCATCCTTGGCAATATTCAAAAGCTGTCTGGACATGGTCCTGGGCAACCAGCTCTAGGTGGCCCTGCTGGAGCAGGAGGCTAGACCAGATGACCTCCAGAGGACCCTGCCAACCTCAGCCATTCTGTGATGAACACCAGAAGGATCTACTTGGTTTTTCTAGACCCATTAAAGTTTGAAACCACACATTTTTTGTGGAGGGAAAAATAAAGGGAGGAAGAAGAATGAACATTAGTGAGGAGTATAAGCTTGCTCATTTGGCCAAATGGTTCAGTGTTTCTCTTACATTATCC